TAGTTTCGAATTTCAAAGAAATGTCGAAGAGAAAAAAAAAAAAAAGGGATTCCCCCCCACCCTCCACATGCCACCACGCCAAACCAAGAACTCCCAACGTGCTGCCGCCGCCGTCGCCACCGCTGCTGCTGCATCTTCCACCCCCGTTCAGGCCACGTCCTCCACCCCCTCTTCCCCCGACATGGCCGCATCCTCCATCAACATGTCTGACATCCGCACCGACTCAGTCGATAGCATCGCCCGCAACCTCTTCGGCGAACAACCACCAGCAAACACCGCCACCCCCGACCTCTCTGCCATCCTCCACGCACTCAACTCCGTCACCGCCTCTCTCGACAACATAAAGGCCAACGTGTCATCCTTATGCGACCGCGTCACCACGCTCGAAGGGACCACCCCCCCCATCACGGTCGTCACCACCACACAAACCACTCCAACCCCCACAGTGCAAACTACTCCAACCTCCATAGTGCAAACAACTCCAACCTCCACAGCCGCCTCTAGCAACACCCCCCCGCCGACCTCCTCCACTCCTACCACCTCTACCGCCATATCCACCAACCCTTCAATCCCCACCATCGTTCCGTTCCCTCCACCTCCTCCCTCATCCGGCGCATCCCGCACACCGCCTCATTCCCCGCCCATCAAAGCCACCCCTCTTCCCCCCCTGCACTCCCAAACCCTCTCCCAACCCATCATAACCACCTCCACCATCCCCACCATCCRTCCCACCTATTCCCAAGTCACCTCCGGGGCTTTCCCCGCAATACCACAACTTCCACCCAACTACCTCCTTGAGGACAACAACCAAATCGACCACACCTGCTATGACACCACCCCCGATAACCTCATTTCAACACCCTCGCGCAGATCGTTCACCGCGACGGGGAAATCCCCCGTTCCTTTCGATCTAGCAAAATCATGTCCTTCTCCGGCCTCCCCCACGAGGGCGTTTTCCTCTTCCTAACCCAGCTTCAGAACTCTTTTCAGCTCCACCACATGCCCCTTGCCCACTGGCTCCCCATTGCCACCTCCCGCCTCCTCRGCAATGCAGCCAAAWGGTGGATGGCTGAAGCTAGCAACCGCCGAGCCTCCGGAGGACCACGCCCCACCTTCCTCCAATGGGCCACCCTCCTCACTGCCACCTTCCGCCCCCAGAAAACCATTGACGACTACCTTGAACAATTCTGCCACCTCCGTTGACCGGTCCCACGGACCGCTTCGTCCAATACGTCCGCTCCCTCCGACACCACCTCCCCCACACCGTCATTCCCGACTGTGCGTTCATCTCCCGCATCAAATGAGTATGCCACAAAGACCTTGCAACCGCCCTCGCCCACGAACCCGACATGCCCCTTGCTGACCTCCTCTCTCGCATGCTCCACCACGATCGACTCCTCCACCCCCACCACCAGGCCCCCCCCGGCACCTCCCGCACCCGCTTTTTCCACCATATCACCCCCGAAGACACCACCTCCATCACTTCCTCAGACGAGTTCACCACATCTGACCCCGACGCATCTTTCGATTCACTCGACTCTTCATCCCTCACTTCCGAGGAACTCGATGTCGTCCAGTTCATGAGAATGGAGCGCAGAGATCGCAGCTCCCGACCACCCTCATCTACCCCACCCTCCCGCCTCAAGAAACTCACCCCCGAGGAGCGCACCTACCTCCAAGCAAAAGGGGGTTGCTTTCGTTGTCGCCAATTGGGGCACCAACAAACCAACTGCCCCAACAGCGCACGATTCACCCATCAGTCCTCCTCCACGAGACCCGCAACCTCCGCATCATCGCTCTCGGCAAGCGCGGACCCCTCCTCATCATGAACAAAATCCCCAGGACACTGACCCGACATCAACATTGCATCTGTCAACCTACCCATCAGTGACATCCTTCGTCGCACCGATGGCCCATCTGACATCGACAATTCGTTTGCCTTCCCCCTCTCCGGCGACGCCCCCTCCACCGGACGATTTCCAGGCATCGCAAACACCTCCCACTGCCTCATGCTCCCTTACCCTTCCTCCAAATGCATCCACTATCACCTTCTCCGATGTTGTTGAGGAACAAGCCCGACACGATCGGCTTGTCCGCTTAGGCAACGAACAACGCCGCCTCAACACCATCATCTYCACCGCCAACTCATCTCGTTTCCACCTCAAATTCATCGCTGCCACCCTTGGTGCGTCTACAACTAAGTTYCGGGCCCTCCTCGACATTGGAGCCACCGGTAACTTCATCACCGACGCGTGTGTCTGCAAAGTCGGTCTTACCTCTACCGGCTATGACTCCCCGATCACGATTCGCCTAGGGGACAAAGACACCGCCGTCGTCGTAGACCGCACGGTTCCTGAGACCATCATGATCGTCGGAACCCTCCGCAGTCAGGTCTCGTTTGATGTCATGCACTTGATGTGCGACATCGTCTTAGGAACCCCGTGG